ATCTCTAATTTTCCGGGAAAATTCAATTTTAATAATAACATTAATTATTGTTATAATTTTTTCAGGGTGTTATTTTTTGTTCGAATGTTGCAAATTGCGTTGCGAGTTCTTACGAAGAAAAATACGAAGAAGTTAAAAATAAAGTTCCGCGAAGATTATAAATAAATGAAAAATTATTATTATTTTGTAATGTTTTTTTTTTCAAAATGGCGTACGATGACGTAATCATCAATAAAAACAATTTAAAAATTTTTTAAACGTTGAAATTAATTAAATAACGATAGTTATAAGTATATTCATGTGAGATTCGTACACCACCTACTGTCGTCGTTTATCTCCAGCAAAAAAAAAGTACGTGGCATTAGATAAAACGATTCGAGCGCCTTTTATTATTACGACCACGCCTACAAAAAGAAAATCAATACTTGATACGTGAATTAAATAAAAAAAATTTTTTTTTTAAACAAAACAAAACGTTTACAATCGTTTACGGGTATTTAAAAAAATTTAATTAATTTGAATTTTTATTTATAATAATAATAATAATAATTATCGTCGAATGTTTATGCCTTTTTTTAATTTATAAAAAAATTTAATCGTTTAAAAATAATAATAATAATAATAATAAAAACAAGGGAAAAGAGAGAGGGAGAAAATTTCTTATTAGGTCAAGGAAAATACAAGGTAAGAAGAGAAATTTTTCTTTTTTTTTGTGGAAAATTTTAAAAGAAAATTTTTAAAAGGTAATTCGATTACGATAATGGAAAATTTATAGTTTTTTTTTTAAATGGATGATAAGAAGAAAAAAGAAGTAGGGGGAGAAGAGGAGCCGATATTTAAAAAAATGACTGGAAAAAATAATAATAAAGATCAACTGGATCCAATGGATTGTCAAAATATTCTTTGCGAAAAAAGTAATTCGATTGATTTTAATTTTATCGATAATAATTGTTTTATTGATAACGCATCTATCGAAACGGCATCCATTGATAACAATTTTTGTCAGGATAGTTTATCCGTTGATAATTCATCATTAAACGTATCAATGGATTTACACGAGGCTTCTGAAAGCATATTAGATTTGCAAGTGAGTAAATAATAATAATAATAGCAAACAATTATTATCATCATTATCGGTCATCATTTTTTTTCTGACTCATAAAAACGAAAGGAAGAAAATACCATTTAAAATAACGATGCTTTCTCCTATTCCTTACAAAAAAAAAAATTCATTCCGCCATTTTAAATTATAATAATAATAATTTTTTTTTCCATCAACATCACACGCTAAACATGTTTCATCAAACATCCCTGTAAAAAATTTTTTTTTTTTTTTTTTGGGGTCAAAATGTCACTTCTCTTAATTCGCAGGAAATAACACAAAGTATTTTAGACTTAGAAGAAACCCAAACCTCGAGGAACAATTCAGAATACGGAACAAGTACCGAATTACAGGGAATAACCCAAGTACCATCATCACCTCCTCCTTCCTACGAACATGTACTGGCGGAGGCAAGTAACATACCTCCTCAAAAAAAGGAAAAAAGGAAAAAAGAGGGCACACTATAGGGATAGTTTTTCGTGCAATAATAAAAAAAAAATTTAATTTTTTGCTTACACGCGCACGTACTTACTTACACAAAGCTTACGTAAAAATTAAACAAAAATTAAATAAAACCGGAATGACGTCATTTTATTTATTTATAGACAAGACTGGCACAACAAGTGACTTTAAATACAAATGAAAAAGATGGAGGAGAAGATGGAGAAGGAGAAGGGGAAGGTGAAGAAGGAGAAGAAGGAGAAGGTACGGGAGCAACAGCGTGTTCCGTTCAAGACGATACGAATTTAACTGAATCCGAAGTACCTGATTCATCGACTCCATCCACGCCACCGGAACCGAAAAAAGGAATCGAAATTATACACAAGACTCATAAAGAATTTTACAGGGCCGTTGCTAAACAATGGGGAATCACGTGTAAAATGAGCGATCATTGTCGATGTTTAGACTGTCAGGTACGGCGTATACGAATTTTTTTTTTTATTAAATTCCATAAAATTTCTCCAGCGACCTATTTTTTTTTTTTTTCCAGAGCATGTATTTCGATTGCGAATACGATTATAACGAACAAGAAAAAACCGATGGAGGCTTAGGTGCGGGTACTCCAATGTTTATATCCGAAGTAATGCACGGGACTGCGTGTACGCTCCTGTGAAACATTTACGTCTTATCAAAAATAACTTGAATCGATTATTATTATTAATATTATCGATAATTTAACGAGTCGTACCTGAGCGACAAAAACAAAAAAACAAATTCCTCGATACAACGAGCAGATTATATGACGTAAGAGGATTAAATCGATTAATATTTATTAACGATAAAGATTAATACGGATTAAAAAAAAAAAAAGTTAATCCGAAATTTTTATCTAAAAAAAAAGTTAATATTAATCTTATGTTTATACATAAATATTTTATTATACTGGATTTAGATTTAATTAGTGTGTATGATTAATAATAATAATAATAATAATAATAATAATAATAATAATAATAATAATAATCTTGCCAATAATTATATTTAAGCTTTGCGCCCATTATTTGTCTTTGTATATCTCTATCTCTCTCTCTCTCTCTTTCTCTCTTTCGAGAAAGTATAAGAATATTAATATTATTATTATTATATTTTTTAACGATAAATTTTTACTATATTAATCCCATTACGTGTATATAATAAATATGACGTCATTTGTTAATTAATCATATATCGTTCGTTCATTGTCATTGTCATAATAATAATAATTGTAGTTATTATTATTATCATTATTGTTAGTTTTATTTTTTGTGAAATGAAAAAAAAAAAAAAATTACATTTTATCAAAATTTAAAAAAAAAAGGGGGAGAGAGGGGGTGTGGGAAATTGTAATTAATATTAGTGATTAATTAATATGTAAAAAAAATTTTGGCGGGAAATTTAAAAAAAAGTCATTATTATTATTATTATTATTATGTGTTTGTAGTAGTGTCGAAAACGCACAAAAATTATTATTAAACGTATTGCCTTCTTACTTATCTTTTGTTTAAATAAAAATTAACTTTAATAATTTAAGAAAAAAAAACGCGCGAATTTAACCGAAAATATATATTTTTAAAAATAATTTTTTCTCGCTGCTTGTCGACGATTGTTTTAAATAAAACGACGATAAATCGATCGATATTCGATAAATCGAATCTTGAAAAAAAAAAAAATAAAAAATTTAATTAATTAAGTATCGAACGCCGCCGCGTTTTTATATATATGTATATATATGTATGTGTTATACGCAACATTAATAATAATAATATTAATTTGCTTCTTTTTATTATTATTATTATTATTATTATTATTATTATTATATTACGTTATTTTTAAACACGACAAGATTTTTTATTTGTCGGAATTTTTAAGCATTTATTTCAGGTTTCTAATCGATTCCTTTTCAAAATAAATGCTCGAATACTTATCATTATTATTGTTATTTATATTATTATTATCATTATTATTATTCTTAATCGATCACGTGGTCGTTAATATATATTACGGGAAATAATCGAAAGAGAAATTTAAAAAGAAAAAAAAAAAAAAAAATTGTAATTTTTAACAGGGTTTGAAAAAAAAATTTTTTTTGTGTACACTAATCATATTACAAGCAAAAAAAATAGTAATAATAATAATAATAATAGTAATAATAATAATAATAATAATAATAATAATAATAATAATAGTAATAATAATAATATTTTTTAGTATTTTTTTTCCTTTTTGACTTTATCACACACACATATATATATATATATACATAAATAAATTTAATTCGTGTAATTTTTAATTAATTAATTAATAATTTTTAGAAATAATAATAATACTATTAGTAATTTCGTTTGTTTGTTTGTTTGTTTTATTTGAATAAAAACAAAATAATAATGTTTGTCGCGTTTCTTATTTCAAAGCGTGACACGATTGAAAAAAAAAAGAAATTAAGGATTTTAAAAGTGGGGAAGGAGAAAAGGATATCGAAAATCATTGCCAGCCAAAAAAAAAAATTAATAATTATTAATTAATAATAATAATAATTATTATTATTATTATTAAATACGACGAAGCTTTAAATAAATATGTATACATTTATGTACGTGCAAATAAATAAATAAAAATTTTTTTTGTATATTTTTCGAGCTTGTTTAAAAGCTTTTTTCGTATTAAAAAAAAAAAAATTGTAAATTTCGAGTTGATCGGATCAAATATATTTTATTATTATTATTATTATTAATATTTTTTCGGGGGTTGGGTTGGGTGGGGTTAAGGGTGGAGGTGGGTGGGGAGGAAGGCGGTGTGGGTGGGAGGGATCAGCCAAATATTAAATTAAATTTTTTATCATCTTATAGTATTTGTGATAGGGTGTGTGAATGTGTGTGCGCGTGTGTGCGTGCGGGTGCGGGTAATCGGCTTTTTTTGCGTTTAATAATGCTTTATTATTATTATTATTAACAAACAAACAAACAAACAAACGAAATCGGGGTTAACAAATGCGTTTGTCTGATATCGATCAACTCATGTAAATGTTAAACAATTATTATTATTATCACTTTGTTAAAATCCGTCGTCATTATTTTTTCTGTTATAGTTAATTAATTAACCTTAACGGTTTTTTTTAATTTGTTAAATAATCACGTGATCATATTAATAATGATGATGGTTATGATGATTTTTAATTAAATATGACATATGTTATAAATTTTCTTTGTTTTTGTTATGTTTTTACACGTTTCGTTATTATTTATATACATAAAAATATCATTATTATTATTATCATTATTACTATTATCATTATTATTATACGTTTTTAAAATTAAAATTTAATTTCTTTTGTTTTTTTGAATTCCTTTTACAAAAAAAGGTTTCCTTCAAAAAATAATGAAAAAAAAAGGAGACAAGGTCAAATATCGCGTGCATGACACCTAATTTTTTTTTTTTAAAATAACCCCGTAGAAAGATACAAGGTAAAGGTCAACGGTTATTTTTCATCGAAAAAATAATAATAATACAAACAAAACGATCGTTAATCGATATTTATATAATAATAATAATAATAATAATAATAATAATAATAATAATAGATTAATTAATTTTACATGATTTGCTTCTTTTTTTTTGTATGCATAATAAAAAAAAATAAAATTTCATTTTATTATTATTATTTTATACGACGACTCACATATAATAAACAAAATATTTACAAAGAAAAAAATCGAATCGATAATCGATCAATCGATCATAATCGATAATAATACATAAACATATATATTAATTCGATCGGAGTTGTAAATTTTCGAAAAAGGCGGAAACACACAATTTCATTAACTCGAATATGGGATTTTTTATATAAACCATCAACTTTTAGTATTATTATTATTATTTATACACTTATTACATAAATATATTAATTATTATTATTATTATTTAATGTCTTTTATATTAAATTTAAATTTAACAAATTTTTTTTATGTTAATATTTATTATTATTAAGGACGTGTAAAAAATGAAAATACATAAAAAAAAATTACATCACGAACCAAACTATAAATAATATTAATAATAATAATAATGATAATGATAATAAATTTAATTGAAAAGTCCATAAATAAATTTTTTTTTTTTTTTTCGTAAATCAAAATGGACGGCGCATAAATAATTTGTTTTTTATATATATATAATTAGAAAAAAATTTAGAAAAATATTCGTTAAACGATTTTTAAATACACATTTTCTTTTTAAATACAAATTTAAACTTTTTTTTTTTATGGGGCGGGGCGGGGGGCAGTGGTTATGGCGACGGCGACGGCGATTTTAATAAATCAAAAATTATTAAATTTTTTGCTCGTTTTCGTATTTATATTAATATTAATATTAATAATAATAATAATAATAATAAAATAAAGAACCATTCAATTTACACACTATCTCATAATGAAATAACAATAATAATGATTATTAATATATGAATCATAAATTTTTTTTTTTTTTTTTTGAAAATTTAATTAAATGAAGATATCCACTGACTTGAAATCGATATATCGATCGATCGATGGATCGATAAATCGATTTATTAATCATAGAAGAAATAAAAAATAAAAATTTCTTTTTTTTTAAGTCAGTTTCGTTTATTTTTTATTTTTTTATTCTATTTTCACGTAATTAGTAATTATTCAAAATAACGTATAATAATAATAATAATAATAATAATAATAATAATAATAATAATAATAATAATAATAATAATAATAATAATAATAATAATAATAATAATAATAATAATAATAATAATAAAACAAAATGAAAAAAAAAAAAGAAGCGAACAACAAAAAGGTATTAAAGTGTTAAACTTATTATATTTTTTTTATTATTATTAATTTTTTTTTAATTCGTTGCAATTATATATATATATTTATTTATTAACTGTCACTCATTTAAACGATATTAATGATAATAATAATAATAATAATAATAATAATATATATGTATATATATGAGATATTCAACCGAACTTTTCAATTGTGTTCATTCGTAACAACAAAATCCTTATTTTTAAATATATATATTTTTACCAATTCATAATTATATATATTTTTATATGGATGCCTCACGCATATTTTATATACGCACACGCATTCACGTATAGACACGCGCACAAGCACACAAATCACATGAACACGCACCCACACACATTTACATTTATATATATATATATATATATATATATATATATATGTGTTAAATTTTTTTTATTTTTTTTTCATTCATTAAGAAACGTCATGGCAACGAACGAAAAAATCAAAACTTAATAATAATAATAATAATGATAATAATAATGATAATTTACAATTTTTCTTCTTCTCCAAAAAAAAAAAAAAACGTTTACAAAACACGTAACGGTAAAGAAAAAAAAAAAAAAAAAAAAAAATTAGTTAGAAATTATATTCAGGAATAAAAAAAAAAAAAAAAAAAAAAAATTAAATTTTTATCCCATTTGTTTTCCCTCCCTTCTTCCTCCTCCCTACCTCCCCGACCTTTTCCCCTCCTTATCCCCTTTCCTTCTTTTTTTTATGTTTTTTTTGTTGTTGGTTGTTTCAAAAAATCGATAAATCGATTATTTGAACAAATAATCCGAGAGAACAAATTACACTGATTAATGAATATTTGATTAATAATTATATTTAAAAAAAATTTTTTTTTTCTCTTTTTTCATAAGCTCCTCCTCCTCCTCCTCCTCGCCCTCCCCGTTTATTATTATTATTATTTTTTTCCCCTCTCTTTTATTGATTTTTTCATTGCGTTCAATAATATATATTATTATTATGGTTGTTCGATTTTAAAACAGTAGACGAACGCAAATACGAAAATTCATTTTATGGGCAAAAGAATAGAAATTCACGATATTAATAATAATAATGATAATGATGATAATAATAATATTTTCGCGTCGAATGATGACGTTGCGGTCAGTGAGTGAGTGAGTGAGTGAGTGTTACTTTTTTTTTTTTGCTTTTGTTTTATAAAAGCGAATTTTTTCTCTCTTTCTTTCTTTTATTTATTTTTTCTTCGAAGAATGACGTAAACTGCGTTTAAATCTCTAATACTTTTCCTCTTTTCTTTCTTTTCTTTCTTTTTCTTTTTTTTTTTTATAATTATTTTTTATTTTCAGTCTTCCGATCGAGACCATTTTTACTTAAAAAGAAAAAAAAAAAAGAAAAATTTATCCTTTCACGTGACCCTGAATTAACCCTTTGAGTCTCCTTATTTAACATTTACTTTACATTTTAATATTAATAATAATAATAATAATAATAATTATACGATTGTTCTGCCAAGAGCATTTTGATGGCGTGTGTGTGTATGTATGTATGTATATGCGCGACAAATATACGATTGATATTAATTAATTAAGAGTGAGTGAGTGAGTGAGTGAGAGAGAGAGAGATCTTGTTGACGTCATCAAAAAAAAAAAGTCACAAAAATCACGCCAAATAACTGTACGTATCTTTTTGACCTTCAGTTCTTTCTAAATATTCTTTTTCGATTAATATATCTATGCATTTCTAAAATTGATAAAAAAAAAAAAAAAAAATAAGTAAACGTATTTCCCGCTAAAAAGTAAAAAATTTTTGAAAATAAAAAAATAAAATAAAATAAAAATGCTTACCTTAACTATGTTCACCCGAGGTTTAAATCTTGAATTCAATTGATTCAAAACTTCCGCCACCAATTGTTGATGTTTCAAAACTTTACGCATTTTCATTATTCTCACTATGGCGGCTTGAATCAACAATTTCCTATCTTCTTCAATGTGTTTATGCGTCGTTTCCTGTTCTATTTTCAATTCCGTTTTCATCGGTATATTTATATTAACTCTAAGTTTTTTACTGCGAAAAAAAAAAATATAAAAAATCGTTACGAAATAACCAAAGTTTTCCCCTTTCCCCCTCCTTCCTCCCCCCTTACTTGTTATATCCCGTATAGAGCGAAAGAACGGAATTCATATGAAGTTGATTTTCGTCGTCTTCGCATTGAAGTAACTTCGCCTTTAAAAGAATTTGAACAACCTGAATGAGAAAATCTAATTTTATTTGAGTCGATTCTTGTAATTGTTGAACCGTCCAACTTTCCGACATGTTATATTGCAAAAGAACAGCCATTTGAAACGTCGAAGCTTGCAAAGTGTACCTGAAAACCCAAAAAAATCAAACGTATTAAAAACAATACAATTTAATACATTTCGTGGTGACCTGAACGTACGTACCTGTGTTTAAAACAATTAGTAACGATTTCACCCTTTGACATATTATATAACCAATTTAATTTTCTTCCACTGTGTTGACTCCCGTAAAAAGTAGTGAATCTATGAATGCTCCGTTCAAGCTTAAAAGAATACCGTGAATGTTAATTAATTTTAAATAAAAAAATAATAATAATAATAATAATAATTACTATTTACCTCCGTCGGTAATGAAAATATAAAACACTGTTGAAGCGGCCACGAACCAGAAGACAAAACCTGTATGCTAAAATCAATATCGATCGGCTCATTTGAATTTATCAAATGTTTTTTGAATTGTTCATTCAAATCTTTTGAAACCCCTATATCCTGCGTGTGGGGGAGGAACAAAAACAACGAAATTAATACATTTTAGTAAAAAAAAAAAATCATTTTTAATCGAGAAAAAAAAATAAAATTTTGTCATATGTCAACCTGAAACATTCTTTGTAATTTTGACGTATACTCAAATCCGCAGGCTTGTTTCAATTTCGAGATCATACTCGCTTCTGCATCATCCGAAGCGCTCATGTGTTGAACCAGTCTCTTTGCTAGCATTTTGCTATAAAATTTTTGAAATACATCTTTATCTTCAATGTATTTAAAAACAACCATCTAAAAAAAGAAAAAAGAAAAAAAATTCATTTTCGACTCTTTTCCCTCTCCTCCTCCTCCTCCTCCTCCTCTTCCATCCCAACCCTATCATCTTACCAATTGATTTAACGTATCCTCCAATTCTGCTTCCTCCGGATTTTTACTAGATTTTTTCAATAATAAATCGCAATATTTAGCTAATAGTTCTGGACATTTTGAAGAGCTATTACCCTGCCTGAAAGAGAGAGAGATACGAAGAGAAATAAAAAATAATGATAATAACAACACATAAACAAAATAATACCCGCGCCGCGCGTACCTAGTTACGGAATTAGAGTTGATAAATCGTCCGCAAGCTTTATCCAAAGCGGCGACAAAACCTGAATCGTTGTTAAAAGCCGTGAGTACGAGAGCATTGTATTTCTTATGAACTTCCAATATTGTATTTACATACATTTTCGGATCCTGAAAAGTTAAAATAAAAAAAAGGGTCAAATTTTTTTTTTTTTTTTTTTAACTTTAAAATTTTATTTTAAAATCCTTTTTATTCAAATTTTTTCTCACGCTTGAAGCGGCGTCCCCGCATTTGTCAATAGCCGAAAGTCCCTGATTGTAAATGTGTGTTTCCAAAAGACTTCGAAGTTCTCCCAAACTATCGGGTATCCTCGCAACCAAAGTGAATATCCTACCCAAATCTTCATTTTTATCCGCATAGAGCAAATGTTGAAATTCCGAATGAAATATTTCCATGTGTTTTTCAATAAGAACTCTTTCGCATGTTTTCGACAGTCTCTCCATTGTGGTCATATGTAAATAAACTCTAACACGTTTTTTCTCTTCTTGCAATCTTTGCTCAGCCTGAACAACAACAAAAAAAATGGTTTCCGTTTAAAAAAAAAAAAATTATTGAACTAAAGAAAACATAATGAAAACATATGAACCACTTCCTAGTGTGCGTGTGTGCGTGTGCGTGCGTGTTAATATTTTCTTTTAAAAAAAAGAAAGTTTCTCGTTATGTAAACCGTCAAAAATTAATTTTTTTTTTTTTTTCTTCCTCCTACTGTACAAAAACAAATTCCTTTGTTCAATGCGGAACAATT